TTTAATTGAAAGACACTTAAAGTCTTTTATAACTTATTCAAAGGTGTTAAACCACTTTTGTTTTATAAAAATTCATAATTCTTTCAAAAAGACTTTTCCAAAGAAAAACTTTTTTAAATGTTATGTTAAAAAGTTTAAGATCTTTTGTTTTTATTTTAATAAATTAAGATGAATATATAATATATAATATATTCTATTATAATACAATATAATATATAATATATTCTATATCAATACAATATAATATATAGTATTGAATTGTATATAATGTAATAACTATACCAATTAAGTATATAATATAATAATTAAATTAAACTTAAATTTAACTCTAATAACCAATGAGTACAAACACTGAGGGATTGGATGATGAGTATTTTACAGACGACGACGAGGAATATACGAGCAGTCAAAGCAGCGAATCTGATGAAAGTCAGACTGAAGAAATCAATGCAGACAATTACAATGAGGTCATAGCAAGTATTAAAGAACGGGTAATAGACCGGATCAGTCGGATACATAGTAACGAACAATCGAAGTTGTATGAAAAGTATATACAAGCGACCAATTTGTTTTCGAATGAAAAGGAGTTACTTTTGGATGATATGCAGTTGTATGACCTTGGTATCCTTCAGAAAGATAAAGTTTTTCAAACATTAAAATGCTTCTCTTCGTCCATCAAAGATTTGAATCAAATGTTCGAAGACAAAGCAACCTTTTGAATTTACTAGTACTTATTAATTATTAAACCATTTTATTATTATACTTTGTGATGTATAGTAACATATAGTTACTTTATTAATTGAAATGGAATAAGAACCAATTCTTTAATAAAAATCTATATTTATAGTATTGCGATACAAGATACACTGACCGACAGACACCACAGAAATAAAGCAAGCAGAAACGGAAACTGGAATTACAAAACAGAGATTTGATGAAGACCAAAATGCTTGAGGCAGTCAATAGGAAGATATTTGTTGCATCGAAGACTATTCTGGACCAGAAGAATGACACGAAGATCACTGATCCCGAATTCACGACTATTAACAAAGAGTTTATGGAACAACAGAAGTCATTTCATGTTCTTATTATGTCACTGTATACCCATTTACAACATTGTAGATCGGCGCCACAGACTTTGGTCGATATCAGTAATGCGATGCTGAAATTTGTCGACCCAGAAAACGATATCTTTAATTATGTGTTACAGTTCAAAACTGCATGCCAGATACGTCAAATGTCCGAGGAAGAGTACACTAACAGTTACGAAATATTGTACTCGAATGCGCACTCTTGCGTCACACAATATCTAGAACTCGAGGAACGGAAGAAAGTGCTTTCGGACCGGTTCATCGACTACAACTTGGCGAAGACTCGAGTATTAGAAATGAAGAAGAAGAAGAATCCAAAAGGTCTTGAAGACCTCATTAACAAAGAGACTGTTGCGCAAATGAAATATAATTTACTTAAAGAGGAATTAATCAAAGATATGTGTTTGATGGTCAATATGGTAGTGAAGTACAGAGGAACGATGTTTCGAGCTATTGTCGAACTTGAATTAAAACGTCGCGATGGAGTTAATGAGGCACTTTATTCAGTAAAGAAGCTTGGAGGAGAGAATGGAGCGATCCCCGAGTTTGTCATCACTGATGCGAGCAATTCCTTTGTGAACGACAAAAAGTGCTTTGACAACTTTGAGAGGAACGAACAGCACAACGAACAAATTGTGAAGCAAAAGGAGAAGACGGAGAAGTTGGCGAAGGAAAAGGAACGCGTCGAAAACATCAAGAAAAATCCCCCGACAAAAACAATACCCCGCGTCTCATCAAATCAAATGTTAATGTCAGAGGAGATGAAACTGAAAAATGAAATTATTAAAGGCATTCAGAAAGAAATTAAGACGGAGAGTGAGAGTAAAAATAAGGCGGACTTGAAATCAAAAGAAAAGGTGTCTTATCAAGTTTTTGAGGAGACAAAGAAGGAGAACAAAACTATAACACAAAATGAAGTGAAAAAAGAAGTGAACGAAAACCCATTTGAAAAATTGGAGAGGAAAACAGCCGAAGAAATTCAAAGTGATACAAAAGAAGAAAAAAACAATGAAGTTTTGCAAGAACAAATTGAACCGAAAGTTGAGAAGAAAGAGGAGGTGTTATTAATTAAAGAAAATAAGAAAAATGAAGAGGCGCCAAAAGAAGTAAATTTGGCACATGTCGCAATGCCCAATGAATTATCACTGGAAAATCAACAAACCGTATTGAACGAACCTTCAAATGAAAAATCACAAGAAGAAACTCAACCGATTGAAAAGAAACAAGAACTTCCTGTTGAAATAGATGAAGAACGAGTCGAAGCTCAAGTTGAAGTCCAAGAAGAAGTCAAGTCTGAAGATACGAAGATTGATAAGGAAGCAGAAGAGATCAAAAGTGAACCAAAAACTATACCAACACCAACAAAACCTATCATTAAAATGAGAGCACTGTATGACTATGAAGCTACTGATGATACAGAACTGTCGCTGAATGAAGGAGATATCATCGATATATATGACAACTCGGGGGATTGGTGGCTTGCTGAACTGAATGGGAAGCGTGGATTAGTTCCCGCGAACTTCATTGATTACGTGAAGTGATCAATAACACATTGTTTTATTGAATTGCATTTTTTTGAATAACTCTAAAAGAAAGAACTGAATAAAACACTCCAATAAACCGATTTGGAGAGGACAAACAAAGTGCTATTGTTTTAGAAACAATTCACTTGTTTTACCATAGAAGTACGATGTGAAAGATACCCCACACAATAAAGAAGACGCGTGGGCGCTTGAGCATCGAATATTAATAATAATATAATTATATAACTGAATGAATAAACAAAGTAATCACAATTAGTTGTTGAGTAGGTTCTCTGCGCTAGTCTCTATTTTACAAATAGTGTTTTTTATTAAATTCCCTTTCTGAGTCGAATACTGTTGAAGCCATATTTCATGCATCTCATCTGCTATTTCTTTGAATGTCGGCCGGTTTAATGGGTCTTGTCCCCAACACTTCTCAATTAACTCTCCCATTCCACTTGGAAAGTCTTTGGGAATAGGTAGACGATTTCCCGCAGCTACATAAGCAGATACTTCCCATTTGTATTTGAATGAAGTATAAGGAACGGCTCTTAACCAAACTTCGTAACACACAATGGAATACGCAAAGACATCGGACTTTATTGGTGGTAGT